GCTCCACAGAAATTCACTATTAATAATATTACACTTCAAATTAAACGAGAACTCAGACATAGTAGAAAGGGGGAAAAGGTGGATGAAGATGACAACATATACACAAAGCATATCACAAAATACAGCATTAAAATAGCATGAAAAAAGTTGAGACATTAATAAAGTATCAGACTAACGTAGAGTAAAATTTGTTGGACTTGGTGGCTCAACTGTATGGGGCAAATTGTATGGGCACCCTGTCTACTGGTCTACTGGTGTGGTTTCCACTGACTCGGACTGCATCCTGAATCCAAGGAGTATCAGTGTTGTGACGATAAATATTTCAGAATTTCCTTGCCATGGTAAATGTAAACTTCTTGCCCTGATTCAGGAGGAAAGCAAACTGCAAAATGTGGGAGTTTCCTAAGCAGGGGAAATTCAACATACTTTGTATATGTAAATAATACACTAGCTGCTTAATGCAAAGTTCTGACCAGAGGATCTCTATGAGCTGTACCTCTGCTTCAATCCTTAGGGCAGAGACTACCTTTTGCTGTGTGGCTATATAGTTTTATCACAAAGGAGCCTTCATCCCACCTTGGGCTTCTTAGGTGTAATCTAACACAAATACTAACTTATCTTATGGTGCACCCACATCTTGAACACTGTGTGCAGTTATGCTCTCCATGTCTCAAAAAAGGATGTAGTAGAATGAGAAAAGGTACAGAGAAGGGGAACCACAGTGATTAGGGACATGGAGCAGTTGCCATACCAGGTGAGACTAAAATGGCTAAGACTCTTCAGTTTGGAAAGGAGAAGGCTAAGGGGGAGTAAAATCATAAAGGGTATAGACCAAGTGACTAGGGAACTGCTCTTCACCAACTCCCAGAAAACCAAAACCAAGGAATACCTGCTGAAATTAGTAAGTGACAGGTTTAAAATTAACAGGAGAAAGTACTCTTGTACACAACGCACTGTTAACTTGTGGAATTCATTGTCACAGGAGGTGGTGGAGGCAGATGGCATTGCCCAGTTCAAAAAGGGACTAGGTAAATTAATGGATAAATCTACTAATGGGTATTGAACAGAATGACTGGTGATGTTTTCTTTGGTCTCTGTAAACCCACTGTAGTAGATGCCAGGGAAGATATTGAATAGGGGATAGATCACTCTAGATCTGTCTGGTTCAGTCCTATACCTCTATAGTATCCACCCTTGTCACTATTGGAGCAGGTCTATTTGTTGTGCCATACGGTCATGAGCTTGGCCCATCATGAATTGCTATGAGCCACCCTTAATAAGGGAAGCCAATGAGGACACATCAACTTATTATGTGGGATAAATAAAAATAAAACAGGAATAGGAGTGAATTCATACATTAATAACAAGGGGTCTGGAAGGGAACACTGAGCAGAGTACACTGGCCAGCTCCCACTGCCCCACAAATGAGTCGAGAGAGCCTGTGGACACCAACCAGTGAAACTGCCTGGAAACGTGAGTGGAGGAGAGACAGGAAGACAGCCCCACCATTACCTGGGTTCTTCCCAGCCAGAACCTCCTTTCTGGTCTTACAGAAGGCCAGCTTGGCCAGAGTCAGGAGGTGGTTGGCTAGGAGGTCATAGGGCTTGGTGAGGCACAGCAGGACCTTCTGGAGGAGATGGAAGAAAGGTGCAGCCTGGTGCACATAAAGTACACCAGATGCAAACCTGTGGTGACACTGGGCTAGATGACCATTGCTCTGACTCACTATAGCAGTTCTTATCTTATTATCTTAATAGTAACAATCTAATGGCCTAGGCTCAGGTATTATGCTTGAACATGCAATTGTTTGCTATTTGAATAGAAGAGGAAAAAATAAACATTTATCAATATCTCATTTCTCCTAGGAATGAAGAGTTGGGCTCAGATATTTATGGTTTCTTGTGAGACACCTTTCAGATCATCAGAGCTATGTTTGCCCAGTGAAAACAAAACTAACATGGCAAGACTAATTATGACTAAGCCCACATTTGACTATCAATCAGTGACTGCTAGCAGCAGAGTGCCTGTGATCAACTCAAAGGGTTAAAATAAATAAATAAATAAATAATGAAAAATATCACCACATGATCTTGAATTAAAGGTACATTTGAGGAAAACACCATGTGCTTACTGACATTTGGTGAGCAAATTTGCTAAGTAAGTTATGTGCTGAGTATTTATTCAGCTCCAATTTTAAGATGATTACCAAGCTGTAAAGGTATTTATAAAGCTTTTTAAAGCATACCTTACTGTGGCAGTTAGGGATTTAGAAGTTAAAATTCTCCTGCTGCCAAATCCTAGGGCCATAAAGAAGAATCTCTGTTCATTATTACCAGTATGGCTATGCCACATGCTTGGGTAATTCTAGTCCCATGCAGCAGACAGTGGTAGTAACAAACACACTGGCCAAATCATTGCAACACCTTAGATCTTACATTTTTAAATCCTCTGTAAAGCACTTGAAGTTCTCTCTTTGTGAAATTGGTTTGTGCTTCAAGCTGTTCCAGTCCTTCAGGCCGATGGCACACTGTTGTCATTTCTAATTCATCTTCAATTTTATCTGAAAGAAGAGACAAATATTTATTTTTGTTACCATCTTTGCTTTATTAAAATGATGAGCAGGTCAAAGAATCGGAATACTGAGATCTTGAAAATAATAAAGGGAGGAAAAAACACTAACATGGACCTGTTTTCTGCAACTGGTTTCAGTCCTTAAAAGCAAAATTAATACCTCAGAGTGCAACAATACCCTACATTTCTTACTAGGGGGAAATATTTATAATTCTGCTCCCAGGGCAATGAGTAACAACAATGAGTAGAAAGGGCAAGCAGTAGACTTGCTGTTCCAAACAGCAGTAGTGTATGCTGCATGTATAAACATCTCAACAATACTCAGGAGTAGTTCTTTGAGGATGCTAGTCAAAGAAGAGCATGCAAGCATCAGTGGGAAGTGACAGAGCAGACAGTTTTAAACATATTAGACAAAGACACTACATTAGACTAAGTGAAAACAGAAAAGGATGCTCCTTTCTCTTTTGTATGTCAACAAAAGAGCTTGTTACAGAGACATCTGAGATCATGTTCATCTCTGCTGAAGTCCAGCACAACTATATCAAGAGTGTAACTGGCCTCAAGTCTACATGGTTTTCTTAGAAGTAGGGCATGCAGTGATGTGCTTATGTATATTAAATACATTATATACAGGTTTTAAGAAAATATAAGGACTTGGAAACATATATCATACTTAAATCTTTCCCCTCTTTCTTATATATTTTATAGCTTAGAAACCTTGCTTCCTTAGTATTGCTGAAAATAACTATATATGTCAGATGCTTACTATTTGCCAGGAGTTATAACAACAAACCAACAAAGGCCCCAAAAAAACAACTTAGAGTCAAATGTGACTATTTGTCTTGCAGCTACCCCAAAGCCCTAGTCTGCCTGTGAACTCCCTATGGATGCAGCCCTAGCACCTGTGGTTTAAAGGAAATTGAACACTGCCTAAGTTCCTTTTCAATAAATAAAAATAATTATAAAATGTTAGAACTTCAGTGACTGTTGTCATACTTCTCAGTTAGTGTTCTGCAAAACTGTTACATCATGGTGATAAGTTATAATAATTAGTAGGGATCTTAGATTTTCCATGGGGGAAAAAAGTGGAAAATCTACATGTAAAAAGACAAAAATCAGCATTTATTCATGACTTACCAAAAGTGCAGCATTGTCCTGCAGTGAGTGGTACCATTTCTGCTTTCTCATTTTTGCTGCTGCTGCATTTTGCTGCTGCTTTCTCATTTTCGTGCCTTTTAGCCAATTGGCAGCATGCATCCCCCCCCCCTCCCCCCGCCACTGGCTGAGGTAAAAAAACATGGCAAAAATAAAATCACTGTGGGACACTCCTGTGCTTTTGGTAGTTCATGGAAAAACACAGATTCCTCATTTTTCTGTGGTTTTCTGTGGTGAATGGAAAACTAGGATCCCTGGTACTTAGTGCTCATATGCCCAAAACTAAACTAAGGATTTGTTTACGTATGAAGTTATTCTGAATTGAGTACATTTCTGTTCTGGAATAATAACCAAGAATAACAGTTCCTTTTTGTAATTAGCTTAATCATTTTGGATTTAAAGAAAAACAACTTTCATGTGTAGACCCTTCATAATAATCAGATATGGGTTTGGACAGAAATACTCCCCTTTCATTGAGGCAATGAATACAGCACATACCTGCAAATTCTCAGATGGCACCAATCTGTGCCAGGGGTAGGGCTGGGATTCAGAGAGACCTCAACAAATTGGAGGACTGAACCAAAAGAAATCTCATGAGGTTCAATAAGGACAAGGCAAAGTGCTACACTTAGGACAGAACAATCCCATGCATCAGTACAGCCTGGGGACTGATTAGCTAAGCAGCATCTCTGCAGAAAAAGACCTAGGGGTTACAGTGGACAATAAAATGAATATGAGCCAACAGTGTGCCCTTGTTGTGAAGAAGGCTAACAGCATGCTGGGCTGCATTGGTAGGAGCATTGCCAGATTATTTTCTTCTATTCAGCACTGGTGAAGCCACATCTGGAGTACTGTGTCAAGTTTCTGGGGCCCCACTAAAGAAAGGTGTAGACAAATTGGAAAGAGTCCAGTGCAGCGAAACAAAAATGGTTAGGGGGCTGGGGTACATGACTTCTGAGGAGAGACTGCGGGAACTGGGCTTAGTTAGTTCAGAGAAGACAGACTGAAGGGGGATATAATAGCTACCTTCAACTACCTGAAAGGTGGTTTCAAAGAGGATGGACTGTTCTCAAATGGTAGCAGATAATGGAACAAGGAGAACAAGGAGCAATTGTCTCAAGTTGCAGCAAGGGAAGTTTAGGTTACGTATTAGGAAGAACTTTCTCACTAGGAGGGTAGCAAAGCACTGGAATGTGTTACTCAGAGAGGTGGTGGAATCTCCCTCATTAGGGGTTTTTAAGATCTGGCTAGACAAAGCTTTGGGTGGGATGAGGCAGTTGGGGACAGTCCTGCTTTGAGTAGGGGGTTGGATTAGATGATCTCCTGATGTCCCTTCAAACTCTAATTTTCCATTATTCTAAATCAGCTTAATGCACATATTTTTTGTGTAAGATTCCTTGTGAATTTAGGCCAAAACCCAACCACTGGGTCACCTTCCTATGTCCACATCAGCAACATTCAGAAGTCAGATTTTGCGGGTGCCTAATTTTAAAGTAATCAAAACCTAGGACCAAATTTGCAGTCTAAGATCATGTTCAGTCCAAACCATCACCTGGACTAAGCATGGCAAGGGCAGACTAGAGGGATTCAATGCTTTTAACTACATATCACTTGGCTTTTTCACCATAATAGTGTTTATTTGACCTTTTAATGGTTGGGGTAATTCTATATATGGAACAATTAAAGGAAGCAAGCTTTGACTTGCACAAGAATACAAGCTTTATTTTTTTTAATTTGATTTCCTGTTGGAATATGAATCTTAGTCCTAGTCAACAATGAGACAGCAATAAGGAATAGACTTAAGGTATACAAGGGAATATTAGCCTCAACTTGATGAAACAGGTACAACTCTACAAGTATCTTGGCACTGGAACAAACTGCCCAGTAGGGTTGTGCGAAGCTTCGGTCACTGATTCGATACGGCGGAGATTCGGCCTGATTCAGTGGCTGAATCTCTGAATCCGAATTGAATCAGGACACCTGTTAATCTCTCTGAATTGAATGAGAACCCTCCAAATTGATTTACAGAGATTCGATGATTCAGACATAGACACAGCTTTAAATGTTTTTTCTACATACCTCAAGGTACCAGGTGTGGCTCATGAACGCTGAGATGGTGGGATGGATGGAGCATCCCATGGGAGTGCATGGGGAGGGGTCCCCAGTGCACTCGGTGGCAGACTTCCCTCTGCCCCCACCTTGGCAACTGGTGCCTCCTGGGTCTGGGGCAGCTCTCGGAATCCCCCTGTGACCTATTGCTGAGCTGAGGAGGGGCTGGAGGGGTCTGCTGCTGAGCACGTGGGGGATCCCCTCGCACTCCTGTGGGATGCTCCATCCATCCCACCATCTCAGCGTTCATGAGCCACACCTGGTACCTTGAGGAATGTAGAAAAAACATTTAAACTGTGTCTATGGCCGAATTGCTGATTCTCTGAATCAGCATTGAATCTTCAGATTTAGATTTGGCCGAATCGAATCAGATAGTGATCTAAATCAGTGAATCAAATCACTGTCCCTGAACCCAGCCGAATCCAAATCAAATATGGCCTGCTTCACATACTCCTACTGTCTAGGTGTTTAGAAATGCTGTCAGTGGCCACATTTAAAACTGGACTTGACACTCTCCCACCAGGTAGCAATTGAATCAATCTGCCAGGATTAAAGGAGATGAACTAGAATGAGTTTAGGACACTGAGGGGAAAAAAAGCATTCACAGAGACAGTTAATGCATGTTTCTGAAAAAGTTGCACAGATTGCAAAAAGTACTTGTAAATGGGAGAATCTCAAAGGTGAGATCTTGTTCTGAGACAATTCTATTCACTAGCTTTATCAATGGCAATATCATTGCAAGTAAAATCTACAGTTGAGGATGGGTCAGTTATATAAACAGACATGGCTTATTTGGTTAAGTGGTCAATTGAACAGTGTGTGTTTGAAGATAGCCAGATGCAGGGTCATATATCTAAGAAAAATATAACATTTTCTGGTGCATAAGATATGCTTTCCTCCCCAGGGAAGAAGGTCTTAAAATCCATGGAACTTTACACTCCAAGGGTGTGAGCAAGCATTTGCTGCACTGGGTTTAGGTCTAAGCGGCGTACTTTAAGGTGCCTAGACCTAGACTGGGAGCAGTGGTATGTTGTATACAGTGGAAAATATGGCAAACCAAACATACAAGATGATGGGGACTGTGTTGGAAAGCAGCAATTCTGGAAGTGACATAGGCTTTTCTAAAGGTAGGAAAATAGTTGAGGTCCCAGTGTGATGCTGTAGCTTAGAGGACAAATGCAATTCTTGGATGAATAGGTAAGGTGATTTCAAGCAGGTGTATGGAGGTTAATTTATTTTAACTTGAAGAGAAAGAACAGTACTGGAATTCTGTGTCTAGTTCTGGCATCCATAATTCAAAAAGTATGTTGAAAATTTGGAAGGAGTATAGAAAGGAACTATGAGAATAATTCCAGGTCTGAAAAAGATGATAACAAAAGTACTTAAGAAGCTTCTTCTATTAATCAAAGAGAAGTTTATAAATGTGTAAGTGTTTACATGGGGAAAAAGGTTTCTGACTACAGGTGAAGCTTAATTAGTCTGAAAAGGCATAACAGGGTCCTGTACTGTATGCAATTAGACAAGAAACAAGGCAAACATTTTTAACAGTGAATCAGCCACTTGACTTAAAGACATGGAAGACCCTTTATTACTTACAACTTTATAGCAAAACATTTATTAAAGATATGCTATAGCTCACACAGAAGTCACGGGATTGATGCAAAAATGACTATGTGAAATTCTTTGACCTTTATAAACAAGTCAGACTGTATGAACTTAATGGTC